TTACAATCAGCGGTAGATCAGATCTTATCGCTAAGTTAACTTTTTAAGAATGACAACATTTATGCTTCTTTTAACTGGTCTTTTCCTCCTTACCGCAATGGCCAATTTGAATGCTAATTATGTAACACCAAATAGTTTGACAATTTCGTCATGGAATGTAAACGGTTTAAGTTCGTCCAATGTACAATTACGCCATCTTTCTGAATGTTCTGACATTGTTTGTATAAATGAACACTGGTTGTATGAAGGTGCTCTAAACGAGCTAAGTAACATTAACTCTGACTTTAATTTCACTGCAGCTAGCAGCAGAACATTAGATCCTCTGGATCAAGGGCATGTTATAGGCAACGGTGGTGTTGGCATCATATGGCGGAAGTCACTGAATTACTGCATAGTTCCTGTGTCTAAGTATTAATCTGACCGTCTCGTAATTAAGGTAATGCAACCTCCATTCTCATGCCTTTACGTAATATGTTGTTACCTGCCTCACTCGCAATGCAAGAATGCAAACTTCCTTGAGGTTTTAGATCAACTTGAAACAATTGTCGACGAGGTAACAAACGATAACAGCAACTGTGAAGTGATTGGTGACATGAACGCCGATTTAGGTAATTCCATAGGGACACGTGGTAATGGTGATCCCTCTCACAACGGCACAATGTTGTTGAATATGTGCAGGAGAAACGGTCTCATTCCAATAGACATGTTTCCAATTTGTAGAGGGCCTAATTATACGTTTTATAGGGATTATACATAGATATATAGATCATGTTAATCTCCGAGTGTATCAAACCTAAATGTAATAGTGTAAACGTTATAGATGAGTGCTTAACCCATATGTCAGATCATCTCCCAATTCAAATCAAGCTAGATGTCCAATGCCAAAACAAAAGTGATATATTTAACTCAAGCACACCCTCTAGCCCCGCATGGAACAAAGTAACTGACGAGCAAAAAGCAAAATACAGACAGGGTCCGAATTAAAGATTATAGAAAGCCAAATAAGAGACAATGGCGACATAGACGACGAATTACTAGAGTCACTCTTTGATAAGATAACGGTCATCATAAAAAAGGTTACAGAGCTCACAATACCCATGAGAAAAGGAAATATGGTTTCAAATGCTTGTTAAATTTTCTCATGGGTATTGTGGAAAACCAAGATCACAGGACAACCCATACTGGAGAGACTACAAGAATGCTAAAAGGGAGTTTCGAAGGGAAATACGCAAAGCACAAAACGACTACGAATTAAAGTGCCAAAGGGAAATTGACGATGCCGCAGATCTCTCACTGAACAAGTTCTGGTATCTAATCAAAAAAAGCAGAAGATCACCGCAGAGTTCAGCCTTAATCAGAAATGGTGAAGGGGAGGTTCTAACTGAACCAACAGATGTCCTAAATGAGTGGAAACAATGCTTTGAACACCTTGTATCCGACAAGGTTAATCCTGAGTTCGATAATGACTTTTTATTGAAGATAAGATCGGAGGTTATGACCATGAAAACAGAAAGCTGGAGAAATGATGATGGTGCCTTTAACGACCCAATTACATGCGATGAGATGAAAAAGGTAATATCAAAGTTAAAAATCGGCAAAGCCCCTGGATGGGACATGATCACGCCCGAGCACCTGAAGTATGACGGGGACGGTCTCAATAGCATTTTGACAAAACTGTATAATGCATTAATTGTAAGAGAGTACGTTCCTAAGGGCTTCAAGTTAGGAATACTCATTCCACTCTTTAAGGGAGGAAACAAAGATATCCTGTCAAAAGACGACCATAGAGGCATAACTTTAATGACTATGTACGTGAAGGTCTAAGAAAGGATCATGATGAGCAGAAGCCAAAGATGTAAGCGAATTGACCGACCATGTAATATGCAAGGAGTTAATGTCCCAAAATGTTCGAGTCTCCACACCTCCCTGATAACTAGAGAAGCGACATCCTCCGGATTGGAAAACGGAAATGACGTCATTAATGCGTCTATGGACATCCGTAAAGCTTTCGATGGGGTGTGGCACGAAGGACTCTACCACAAACTGTACAGACAAGGAATCAATGGAAAGCTCTGGAGATTACTTATCAAGTGCTACGATGGATACACATGTGCAGTAAACTAAACATTGGTCAAGCGTATCAAACCGATCACGTAACATCAAATGCAGATGGTGATAAAAGCATCATGAGCAATTCGTCCATGACAGAAGCAATGCATCACTTCCTCAATTGTAATACAAATGTGTCAAAGCCGTTCCCAGTCCAGCAGGGAGTACACCAAGGAGGGGTTTGGTCCATGGATCTCTACGCCAGATACCGAGCTTTTGAACGGAATATGTGACACCAACAATTCTTTGGAAAAGTGCCACGTCCCCTTTCTAAATTTATTTGTATTGCCATATTGTCATCAGCAATAGATTCCACTATGTGGATTAGATAAAATCACAGTTGATTTAATATTATCAAACATACTCTAAAATGTTTTCATGGTGATTCCTCCCAATTTCATGAAAATAATACGTGTTTTGTCTCACGGGGTGTCTTACATTCTGACGAAAATTTGTACTTTTTTAACATATGATCCCCGTTACCATAGCAACCAATTGACCAACATTGATGGCACTTGTCATACTGGTAGGACATGATAAGCAGACGATTACCCGTAAACTTCAAGATGATTGATTAAATATTCTGGGAACTATACACAGTACCCCCTTAAGGTGCACTTTTTAACAAATGATTTATGTTACCATAGCAACCAATTGACCAACATTGATGGCACTTGCCATACTGGTGGGACATGATAAGCAGATGATTACCCATAAATATCAAGATGATATATTGAATATTCTAGGAATTATACATAGAACCTCCTTAATGTGCAGTTTTTAATAAATAATTCATGCTACCATAGCAACCAATTGTTACACATTAATGAGACTTGTCATAGTGGTAGGGCATTATAAGTAAATGGATTCCTGTAAATATCAAGATGATTGGCTGTACATTCTTAGAATTATAGATGGCTTTCATTGTACCCCCCTTAAAATCATACCAATGGGGTATAAATCTGCATATCATAGTAACCAGTAAACCAACACTGAGGAAACTTTCCATGATAGCCAAACATAATTATGTGAATAATACCTGTTAATTTCAGGACAAATGGTCATTTATTTTCTTCAAAAATTTGAACACAAATAAAGAATTCTTTGAAAAAGTGCCGCGTCCCCTTTCTAATTTTATTTGCATTGCCATATAATCATCAGCAATAGTTTCAACTATGTGGATAAGATAAACAGCAGTTGATTTAATATTATCAAACACACTCTGAATACGTTTTCTAAAATGTTTTTATGGTGATTCCTCCCAATTTCATGAAAATAATATGTGTTTTGTCTCATGGGGTGTCTTACATTTTGACGAAAATGTGTACTTTTTAACATATGATTTCCGTTACCATAGCAACCAGTAAATCAACTTTAATTAAACTTGCCATAATGGTAAGACATGATAAGTAGATGATTACCTGTAAATACATCGCTATAACACGAATAATATGCCACAAGTCTCGTGCACTATCTAGCATATCGACGATAGGAAATTGTTTGAAAGTTGCCGAGAATCTTGGAATCCAAAACCAAATATTATGATATCATAGACACTGGAATCATACCATCCAAAACAGTATTGAAAAGGAACATTCGATCAATAATGTACGACAAAGCACTCTGGAGTTGGAGATTAAAATGTATGATGTACACAAACATTCATTTATACAAGAGTGTTGTGGAATTTCAAGAGCCCAACCTATGGTGGGAAATCGCATCTCATAATACAGGGTGTCCCGAAAGTATGCCCCCCCCCCTAGGCAGACATATTCCAGTATGTGTCATATATCATTTTAAAGCTTATCCAAAGTTACATTGATTTGCCAAGTATCATGGTTTAACTCCCAAATGGGAAAAAGTTACAGGCATTTCAAAATTTAGTGTTTGGTCAAAATTAAGTTCAATTTTACACCAAATCACTAGTCAATGTGTCCTCCCGGGCCATCTTAACAGCAGCAATTCTTTTCGGGTCGGATGGATATTGAGTTGGAAAAAGAGAATGGTGAGGGTAGAAACTCTAAGGAAACTCTTCTAAAGTCCCTTAACAGGTTTTAAGAGGGTTATAAAATTCCACACCCCTATTTTAAGGGCTTTTAAGGTCATATCTGAAAATAATTGCTGCTGTTAACATGGCCAAGGGGGAACACATTGACTAGTAATGTGGCGTAAAATTGAGCTTTATTTTGACAAAACACTAACTTTTAAAATGACTGTAAATTTTTCCCATTTGGGAGTTAAACCATGATACTTGGCAAATCAATGTAATTTTGGATAAGCTTTAAAATGATATATGACACATACTATGAAGACGCTGGAATATGTCTGCCTAGGGGGCCATACTTTCGGGACACCCTGTAGTCAACTAGTCAAGATCTGCAAAACAATGATGCTACTCCTCACGGGAGAGGGAATTTGAATGCAATCACATCTAATCGGGGAACGTCATATGACAAGCACAGTAGAAGTTTATGCAATGCATGTAAGTCTGAGACTGAAACACAAAAACATCTAATTCTTAATTGTGACGCACATTCACAAATGAGAGATATAATCCAAAAAGAGTTAAACGCAAATAGTATCCCCGAAAACTGCTCAAATGAAAACTGCTCAAATTAGCAATCATTTTTGGGAAAGATAGACTATTAAAGATAAATAGCTATGTAACGATATCAAAGACGATTTATACAATGTACACTAGTAACGATAGGATGATACTCTGAAAATAAACCCAATGATTGTAAATCCTTGTAGAATGAACATAACTTTTGTCATATGACACTATTAGAACTAAGTCAGGCGTAATGTTGGGGCAGCGGTAGCACCTCAATAAGCTGACTGAGATGATCTGATCGCACTATTATATTCAAACGCCTTTGTATATAGTGTATAAAATGTTATATTTTTGTTATTTATTATCATTGTAATATATTAAAAGTATGTACTCTCCAATATTAGGAGGCAATAAAGATACATAGCATAAGTTACAATCACGTGAAATTGTTTACGCAAATCTACGTGGCCTTTTGGACCACTTTTTGTTATATCATTTGACTACCATACGTTTCAGTTTATAAGTGAAAACCCGTGAAGTGAATTCCTGTCCCTTTTTATGTGATTTTATAATACACATAAGTGTCTGCTAAATCGCTTGGATGATCACATATCTTATGTTTCAGCCAGCAAGGTTCGATAGCTGCAGGAAGTAAACTATAGACAAACCCAACGCATTCTGTACGTCCCAGGCACAGTGCCGCACACTCATTCCTGTTTACGTCATGGCTGGATATGTCGTCACCATGACAATCCCCATCCTTCTTTATGAAGTAATCGATGGCTTTTATGCACATGAAAATGAAACAATGAAACAATTGGGACATCTATATTAAATTATATGTATATGAGCAGAATTGGTCGCAATAAAGATCTAAATACACAGTTGTCATGTCAGATCAATACTCAATGCAACTATTTTACATAGAAATTGGAGATGTTCCAAATAAAATATTATGCAATCAGTCAAAATGACATGTTATGTATGGTGGTTCAACATAAAAAATTAAACTGGAAGGCCGAATTCTTTGTGAAAAATATTTTCTTTTTGGCGAGGAAGATAAACACGATTAGTCTGAATCTACGAACATTGAAAAATAAATTCTTTCTGTGTGGGCTCAATCAAGTGCCCCTACTGATCTTCCCTTACCACAAACATGCAAGATCTCATAAAGTCCAAATCACATTTTTATTGAATGCTGAATCAGTCTTCTTTATCTTACTTATCTATTTTACGTATTTCTAACGTCTCATTCAATTGTTATCGGAGAATGGTTTTATGGGAATGTCATCATTACATAGGAGCCCGGACAGAATTCTGACATACAAAAAAAATATTGAAGGAACATCTCTTTATTTAGTGATATTCTAGGCGTTCATAGTATGAGTGACGCAAATACATAATTCACCATTTTGTCTAATATTTGTTCAAAAATGGCGGCATGTTTTGTGGTTTGAATGTTCAGTTGAAAGTTAATATTTAACAAATATCTTAGGCTTACTAAATCATGTAGGCTGCTGCCTTGGTATGAGGTAATGACTGCATTTAAAACCTTTTGTTTTAGATTGACTTGTATGTATACCAGTACTTTGTTCATTGTATATACAGTAAGGTCGCAGGAGTTTTTTGGCCATCCCATTGTTACTCGTAGTGGATTAGCAACCCTAGTTTGTTTAACCTGTGCAACTATAGGGTCCTACTGCCACAGGTTGTAATGTCTTTCCCAATCACACAGCTCTTAACCCATCCTTGGAATGCATGTGAATTGTGCTTCAACTTTTCAATGGCCTCTGAGATGGCTGTTTGGAGCTCTTGAAGAGATTGAGGACCTACTCTTATCACACCACGTACATTGGGGCGCCACCTTTTCATACCCTCTTGAACACAACCCCGAACATTTCAATAGAGTTGATTATGTATTATGGAATAAATAGGTTATCTCTGGTCGAAATTGAATATGGGTTTTATTCCTCGAATGCTGCGCTCCCTCGGTCAATATCATATTGTTCCTCGGAATAAAACCCATGTTCAATCCATCCCAGTAAATAACCTATATGTATTTGATGATTGGTCACTTGCTGCATTACATTAGGATTGTAATGGTTGCAGCATGGCCCTATAGTCCTATGACAATCTTTAAATATCAACTTTCAACTGAACCAAATATTTACAAAATATACCACCATTTTGAACAAATATGAGGCAAAATGATGAATTATGTATTTGCGTCAGTCATACTCTGAACGCCTATAATATCAATAAATTAAGAGATGTTTCTTAAATATATTTTTTGTATGTCAGAATTTTACTATAGTTTTCAAATATGTGATCAGACTATGATAATACTAAAAATTAAAAAAAGTTATTTAAGAAAAAGTGACCATTGAACAATTCTGTCCGGGCTACTATTGATTTTCAAGATTTCAAAACGTCAAAAAATCTGAACCGGAACGCTGATTTCAATTTTGATTGCAGATTCGGAATCCTGAGAAAACAGTGCCCGTAATACAAGGGCCGAGCAATATATTCGCTACTTTTTGCTTTATTTTCTTTCATATTTTTTCATTTCTATTGAAATTTGGCACAGACATGCAGTGAAGAATTCCACATCTTTTGATACCATTTGTGAGCCAATTACCATATATAGCAAAAAATTCTGGTTGTCATAGCAACACGAGTAGCGGATCACCGGAGCTGCCCATAATTTTACCCAAATTGCACATACAACAATGTCTTCATATGCCCATATCTTCACACAAAAACATTGTTTGGGTAATTTTTTATACACATACATTGTTTACTCCATATTTACCAAATATTCAAAACAATGTTTGTGATGTCACAGATATTTATTTGAAACAATGAAGAGGTCACAGTTGATCCGCGTATGCATCACAAAGGGAGACTTGTGCTTACTGAGTTGCAAACATGAAACAAACATGATGAATGCAAAGCTAAGAGAACAGCTTCTATTTGGACCAGTGAAAAAGGAACATACATTAAAAGAAGCTGTTGAGGACTAAAGAGCTACCTGTACATATGAAGAAGATTGTGAATGTTATTACTTCATCAGATATTGGTTCAAAAGGTCTCAACTTGGCCGTAACTCAATTGATGATGTCAGGTCAGGCTGTAAACCAACAATTTGAGAGTAGAACCTAGTGAATATGCTGATCATTTGCCCTTCTTTCCTCTTGGCAGTTAGATTCCGCTAAATTCACTCTGATGCTATCTTTATGCATTGTTCTGAATATAAGGTCAGTGTCCAGTAATGTCCAGTCAACAATGTATAAAAAAAATTACCCAAACTGAATGTTTTCGTAAGGAGAAATGGGCATATAAAGACATTGTTGTATGTGCAGTTGCGGTAAAATAATGGGCAGCTCCGGTGACCCGCTACTCACGTTGCTATGACAACCAGAATTTTTTGCTGTATATAGTAATTGGCTCACAAATGGTATCAAAAGATGCAGAATTCTTCACTGCATGTCTGTGCCAAATTTCAATAGAAATGAAAAAATATGAAAGAAAATAAAGCAAAAAGTAGCGAATATATTGCTCGGCCCTTGTAGTGACACGTTGAATAAGGAAAATTTTTGTTGACCTACATTTTGGACACTGATATCTCAAAACTGGGTCAAAATACTTCCTAGTGGCATAAAGATAATATTATAAGCATACTCTTAGCTATCTGCATACTTTTCAAAGAAAACGATCTGCGATCTAATGTAAGTATAGTGTCAGGATCGCATAAATAAGGAAATACGAGGGGTGATCAATAAGTAGTGGACGCTTTTTTACACGGATGCTTTTTATAAAGCAATACCTTCGATTTTCTTACCAGTGATACATCATTCAATTATCTATCAACTCTGAAAATTTGGAAACAAAGCATGTAATATATTTTGATATATATATCTTTATTTCCGTGAAGGAGGTATAGGTACCCCGGGACCGACATGACGTCAAACATTCTGAAGCTATTTTAGCTTGTTTAACGTTCAACGCAGTTGAATGCAGGCTGAACAAAACAAACCATTATGGTCATTAATTACCCCATTTTGTTATGCCATAGTTGATTTTGAATATTTTATCATCACTATGTGGTATTCATGCCACATTCATTCTACAGGGCCCTCTACATAGGTTCTATCAAGTGCTACATGTACAAAATTCCTCATCCTCTTAACTCAAGATTGTGAGACAAGGCTGAATCCATTCTCTGATATGGTAGCAAGATGCAGTTGCACGGGTTGTTTTATTTCATCAATGTCAATAAACATGCGTCCCTTCTTTATAGAAATAAGTACACGTACGATAGTACGTACGTACGTACTATACGTACTATACGTACCTCGTACCTCGTACTATACGTACCTCGTAGTATAGGAATAAATAAGTCACGTGTGGACAGATCTGGACAATATGGTGCATTGGCCAAGGGCTCAATTTTAAGGTCCATGGATATTGTTTTCAAACAACACAACATTTGTTGCATATAAAAAAAAGTTTAAATCTAACTGGAATTTGCCAAACTGGCTAACAACTGGATATGTGACGTAAATGTCGGTCCCGGGTACCTGTACTTCCTTCATGGAAATAAGGATATATCAACATGTATTATATTATTTTGTCTCCAAATCTTCAGAATTGATAGATAATTGAATGATGTATCACTGGTAGGAAAATCAAAGGGATTGATCCATAAAAAGTATCTGTGTAAAAAAAGCGTTCATTACGTATTGAACACCCCTCGTATATATTTGACCTAGATTATGATTAAGATTAGGTTTAGATTATCAATCATTAATTTGACTTGTATGTTGTCTGTGTCTGATGTTTTTAAATTCAATTCTTTTCTTTTTTAGCTTAACAAACTTGAATGGATGGTCCTCTAACTATTGTAGTCTATATCCATTTGAATGAAAAATGTAATTTAAGGAAAGCCTTACGGTCAGCATGCCCATGCTGAAATAAATCACGATCATTTAGAGAAATTCAGCATAAACAAATCATTGATGTGGTAATGAAGTACAACTTATTGACATTGCATTCATCTTCTCCGTAAGCGGATGCAGGGTCGTTGCATTCTTTGGTTATGCTACAATGAGACATGTCTATCTCGGGTAAATGTAGGTCCGAAGAAACAAACTATTGACGCGGGAATGGAGAACCTTACAAGCTGTATTACATGTCAATATGTTCAAGGATTTATGATATTATTTTTTATATTTATGTCATACCAGGGCATTCTTGGATTTTACAAGACATCCTCTCTGTTAAATCATTTGCATTGCATTTATAAATATCATTACTTAATAAGGAACAAATGCTGTTGCGTTTTAAGGAAAGGTGCAGGTAATGTTACAATATGCTCATGCATTTCCATTGGTTTATTGTCATACCAGGGCATTCTTGAACTTTACAGGACATCCTCTCTGTCAAATCGTGGATACTGCATTCAGCTCCTCCATAAGCTGGTGCAGGGTTGTTGCATTCTCTGGTGCGAATTTTCTCTCCATCTCCACACGTGGTAGAACATTGCCCCCATGCTGTCCAAGTACCAGGACCTCCGTTAACTAAAACAAAACAGTAAGCATTGGTTAAGGAACAAATGCGTTATAAGGAAAGGTACAGGCAATGTTACAATATGTTCATGCATTTCCAGTCTTTCACGATAACACTACCACGGTCATGGATTAATAAATATCATTACTTAATAAGGAACAAATGCTGTTGCGTTTTAAGGAAAGGTGCAGGTAATGTTACAATATGCTCATGCATTTCCATTGGTTTATTGTCATACCAGGGCATTCTTGAACTTTACAGGACATCCTCTCTGTCAAATCCTGGATACTGCATTCAGCTCCTCCATAAGCTGGTGCAGGGTTGTTGCATTCTCTGGTGCGAATTTTCTCTCCATCTCCACACGTGGTAGAACATTGCCCCCATGCTGTCCAAGTACCAGGACCTCCGTTAACTAAAACAAAACAGTAAGCATTGGTTAAGGAACAAATGCGTTATAAGGAAAGGTACAGGCAATGTTACAATATGTTCATGCATTTCCAGTCTTTCACGATAACACTACCACGGTCATGGATTAATGGTTAATTGTCATACCAGGGCATTCGTGAACTTTACAGGACATCCTCTCTATCAAATCATTTGCATTACATTTATTTCCTCCATAAGCTGGTGCAGGGTTGTTACATTCTCTGACGCGGACTTTCTCACCATCTCCACACGTCTTAGAACATTGTTGCCATGTTGTCCAAGGACCAGGACCTCCATTTACTAGAAGCAAAATCAGTATTAGTTAATAAGGAATAAAAGTGGTTATATTATGGGGAAGACTACATGCAACTTTACAATATACTCAATGGATTTCTAACAGTTTAATGACATACTAGGACACTCTTGTACTTTACAGGACATGCTCTCTGTCAGATCGTTGAGACTGCATATAGCTCCTCCATAAGCTGGTGCAGGGTTGTTGCATTCCCTGGTGCGGATTTTCTCACCATCTCCACACGTGGTAGAACATTGTTCCCATCCTGTCCAGGGACCAGGTCCTCCGTTAACTAAAAACAATTAGCTTTGGTTAAGGAACAAATGCTGGTTTGTTATTAGGACAGGTGCAGGCAATGTTACAATATGTTCATGTATTTCCAATTGTTAATTGTCATACCAGGGCATTCTTGAACTTTACAGGACATCCTCTCTGTCAAATCGTGGATACTGCATTCAGCTCCTCCATAAGCTGGCGCAGGGTTGTTGCATTTTCTGGTGCGGATTTTCTCACCATCTGCACAGGTGGTAGAACATTGTTCCCATCCTGTCCAGGGACCAGGTCCTCCGTTAACTAAAAACAATTAGCTTGGGTTAAGGAACAAATGCTGCTTTGTTATTAGGACAGGTGCAGGCAATGTTACAATATGCTCTTGTATTTCCAATGGTTTATTGTCATACCAGGGCATTCTTGAACTTTACAGGACATCCTCTCTGTCAAATCGTGGATACTGCATTCAGCTCCTCCATAAGCTGGCGCAGGGTTGTTGCATTTTCTGGTGCGGATTTTCTCACCATCTCCACACGTGGTAGAACATTGTTCCCATCCTGTCCAGGGACCAGGTCCTCCGTTAACTAAAAACAATTAGCTTGGGTTAAGGAACAAATGCTGCTTTGTTATTAGGACAGGTGCAGGCAATGTTACAATATGCTCATGTATTCCCAATGGTTTATTGTCATACCAGGGCATTCTTGAACTTTACAGGACATCCTCTCTGTCAAATCGTGGATACTGCATTCAGCTCCTCCATAAGCTGGCGCAGGGTTGTTGCATTTTCTGGTGCGGATTTTCTCTCCATCTCCACACGTGGTAGAACATTGTTGCCATGCTGTCCAAGGACCAGTACCTCCATTAACTAGAAACAAAATCAGTATTAGTTAATAAGGAATAAAAGTGGTTATATTATGGGGATGACTACATGCAACTTTACAATATACTCATGGATTTCTAACAGTTTAATGACATACTAGGACACTCTTGTACTTTACAGGACATGCTCTCTGTCAGATCGTTGAGACTGCATATAGCTCCTCCATAAGCTGGTGCAGGGTTGTTGCATTCCCTGGTGCGGATTTTCTCACCATCTCCACACGTGGTAGAACATTGTTCCCATCCTGTCCAGGGACCAGGTCCTCCGTTAACTAAAAACAATTAGCTTTGGTTAAGGAACACATGCTGCTTTGTTATTTGGACAGGTGCAGGCAATGTTACAATATGTTCATGTATTTCCAATTGTTAATTGTCATACCAGGGCATTCTTGAACTTTACAGGACATCCTCTCTGTCAAATCGTGGATACTGCATTCAGCTCCTCCATAAGCTGGCGCAGGGTTGTTGCATTTTCTGGTGCGGATTTTCTCTCCATCTCCACACGTGGTAGAACATTGTTCCCATGCTGTCCAGGGACCAGTACCTCCATTAACTAGAAACAACATCAGCACAAGTAAATAAGGAACAAAATCGGTTATAGTATTACAGGAATTGACAAAATGTTAACTTATTCATCCTGTTGAAGCAGCATTGTGTGAAATAGATTGTATTGGTAGATTTAACATCACTGAACAAATAGTACTCTTGTTGAGCATCACACACATTACCGTTTATCATATATTTTGGATTACGCAGGGATCATTTTTGATCAAGAAAATTTTATACCATTTCAACTGAAAAATACGATCAAAATGGACTCCGAACTCACAGTAGGTGGTATAAACTCCTTAAACATTGTTTATTTTTCAAAAATTCATTGTTACAGTCTAACGATTTAAATTAGTCTGAATTTCATCTAAATATGTTGGGCATCATACAGCATTACAGATTTTTATTAATTTATGATTTCAGCAGATTTCTAATCTACAAAATGATCAATTATAAAAGAGTATTAAGAAATGTGAAAATATAATGAATTGTTACGGAACATTTTTAAGAAAAACCCTGACCTTGAAAAGTAGAAGCTTTGCAAAGTAAATATATTAGAAAGCAGTTTTAGGTGTTTTTTGTTCATATTATTTTGTAAAATCTATTAATTTCATTATTCAATGTTCAGTAATAAACAACGTTGGTATTGGTAACAAAGATATTTTGTCATAAGTATAATATCTTTCAATTTTTATTAATGGAAAACATCAGGAAGAGAGCTCTACTATGTCTTCACAAGTCCTACAAATTTCAAAATAAAAGAATCATTAATAATGGGGAAAAAACACAGTGACCACTATCAATCTTCATTATTCAATATTAGACTGAAAGTGCTGTTACTCTTTTGACTTCCGGTTTGGACTCCCGTTTTTGTTTGGTCATAATCACTATGTTGGTGTACATTTTTGTGATTTTTCCTCCACATCAGTTGGGTACATCACTGTCATACTTTCTGGATCTATCATATGAAACCGGAGCAATGTTGTGTATTTGTTTCCATTGGCATCAATGAGAAACAAAAAAAATCTGTGGGTGGATTTTCTTAAAATGAGATAGACTAAACATTGAATGGGGGATAAGTAAAAATGTTTAAAATCATAAATAAATTAAACGAACCTGCAAAATGTCTTAAAAGTAGCAAACTATATGTTAACCAACCATTTTCATCATGCTAAAAACGCTACAAAAAACTATGAGTGGATGTTCTTGATAATAGGTATACTCAACACTGAATTGGGGGGTCGTAAAATGCTTAAAATCACAAGTAAATCCCAAATATCTATAGCAAACTGTATTAATTGACCATTTTAAGCATGATAAAAAAAAAGAGTTTGCAAATTATAATATACTCACTAGATATTTTTCAAGTTGACCCCTACCCTCTGTTGAAGAAGGGTCGTGGCTGTTATGATTTTTTTCTCAACATAAATAGGACACATCACTGTCATACTTTTTGGATCTATGCAATGATTTTAGAACAATGCTGTGGAATTGTATCATGGGCTTTGATGTACTATTGCAAAAGTTATGAGAGAATCCACTTGAAATGAGGTATACTCAACATGGAATTGAGGGTATTTTTAATTCTCTAACTGCGCATGACGGAACTCACTAATACAAGTACATTATAGATTTATGTAAAGATGTCAGGTCGGTCGTTCAGAATAAAAATGAATTTATGCACATAAATAGTAACATATTAGTTGACCAACTTAGGCAGGATAAAAAATAATTTGAACAAATTATAAAATACTCACAAAATATTTTTTCAAATTGATAGGGGGTAGAAAAATGCTTAAAATCTTAAATAAATCCAAAATATCCTGCAAAATATTTAATAAATGGTGAACTTAATATTAATTGACCACCTTGGGCAGGATATTTGAACAAATTATGTACTTACAAAATATATTTTTCATATTGACCCTCTCCTCACTGTTGAAGAAGGGGTGGGTTTGTTGGGATTTTTCTCTCAACATTAAATGGACACATCACTGTCCTACTTTCTGGCTCTATCAAATGGTACTTGAGCAAAGTTGTGGATTTTTTATTGGCATGTATGTGCTAAAACAAAAGTTATGAGGGAATATTCTTCGTGCGTTCATCCTACCGTCCATTCGTTTGATCGTGCGTTCGTCCAGCTGTCCGTTCGTCGTGCGTGCATTCGTCCGAGCTTCCGTTCGTGGCAACGTTCATCCGGCCATCCATTCTTTCGTTCGTGAGTTTACGTTCGTGGGCGTTCGTCCGTCCGAACGTTGGCGCATGCGTGCGTTCGCTCGACAGTCCATTCCCCATATGACCCTGCGTTCGTCCGACCGTCCATTCGTCGTGCGAAATCCTTATAGTACTAACAAATGAATATGAAGCATTATATTCTCTGCAAAGAGGGTGGACTAAGATAATTTAGAAGAATGATCACAAGTAAGAGGAAGGAACCAACAAAAGGCAACATAAGAACACCAGTAAGGGGAAGGGGAGAGTTTTCCGGCCGGATGAAAACCGTTTAACCCACCTACGTACAGTCTAAAGTCTGTAGACTCTGAAGAAAGGATAATTTCTGACATCATCAAAGACAAGACAATCAAGACAAAGAAAGAAGACAACGAAAGAAGACAATGATGCAGAAGCAACGAATGACATCTGTCCATTCTTTCCTTGTTCGATCGATTGTTCGTTTGCAGGTTTTTACCCAAGATATGTCTTACCACTTGCCATACGAAAGTAACCAAGCGAGCAAGAAAGCAAGCAGACAAAGGAAATATATGTAAGCAAGCAAAGAAGTAATTAAGTAAGCAAGTTAGGAAGGAATTGAGGAAGTAATTGTGGAATTGATAGTGGAAGTAATAGTAGTAAGCATTTTTTTCTCAACATAAATAGGACACATCACTGTCATACTTTTTGGATCTATGCAATGATTTTAGAACAATCACCGTGGTCAGAGGTAACGCGGCGCAGTCAAGCATATCTGTTCAAAACGAGGCTGCAACGCGGCAAAGACACAAAATGGCCACTCAGTGGAAGGTCGAAAGGGCGGTAAGTTTATTCATAAGCTTCATACACTAGTTTGTGTCTGCTAAAGTTATAATAGCATATACCATTCGGTGGAGAACTTCACAGAGTATGTCTTTGTGAAGCTTCTTGAAATTTAGTCAATCAGGGAAATACATTCCAAGTCAATCAAAGTCAATCACTTACTGAAATTTGACAATTGTGGCATTTTTCTAGCTTAAATTCTATGTTTTTGACTTTGTCACTTGACACATATCTATTAAATCACGTATATACCACGGTAATCTCTATTTCTTCAAAGTTTCATCACTGTTTGCCTTCTGTTAACCGATTCTGGGTGGAAAACCAGGTATATTTTGGAAACGCAGTTCAGACACTTCGGCAACGCGGGTTCAGACATCATACATATTTGACAAAACTGGAAACGCAGTGACAGCAATGCAGCTGATGTTCTATCGTGTACGATAATTACATTATCAAAGCATTCTCTATCTATTGCTTGATCTTTTTCTGAAAAAAGTCACATGCCTTATTAAATCAAAATCCTCGACAGAAAAGCATAATGCAAAACTTCTTTGTACTTTACAATACAGAGAAAGTTGATGCCTGCACCGCGTTGCCATACAATTTAATCTATGCTGTCGACGCGTTGCCATAATTGCTGAAAATGACTGCGCCGCGTTTCCGGCTAGTTCAATTTTGTAAGCAGATTGCGATGAAAATAAACAAAAGTTTCAATCTTAATTTGTATTGTACATTCTATAAGTATCAGGCTATTGAATGTCAATGTTAAATTTGCTCATGAGTGGCGAAATACTTCCTTAATTGGAATAAGAAGATAGGTCAAGAGAAATAGAATCGGGAAATCATATCTGCGTTGACTATTTCTTTACTCTGGTCAATGCCTGAACAGAAATTCTTATAGCTTTACATACCTTGAGGGGTTGATCACCGAGTGTGAAGCATGAGTTTTCAAAAACTTACCTATGTTTCGAGGAAACAGAGGACGAAGTGCTTCCGATAATTGGAGTTGCCTCCATTTTGTGTCTTAACCGCGTTGCAGCCTCGTTTTGAACAGATAAGCTTGACTGCGCCGCGTTACCTATACCCACCTTGACAATGCTGTGGAATTGTATCATGGGCTTTGATGTACTATTGCAAAAGTTATGAGAGAATCCACTTGAAATGAGGTATACTCAACATGGAATTGAGGGTATTTTTAATTCTCTAACTGCGCATGACGGAACTCACTAATACAAGTACATTATAGATTTATGTAAAGATGTCAGGTCGGTCGTTCAGAATAAAAATGAATTTATGCACATAAATAGTAACATATTAGTTGACCAACTTAGGCAGGATAAAAAATAATTTGAACAAATTATAAAATACTCACAAAATATTTTTTCAAATTGATAGGGGGTAGAAAAATGCTTAAAATCTTAAATAAATCCAAAATATCCTGCAAAATATTTAATAAATGGTGAACTTAATATTAATTGACCACCTTGGGCAGGATATTTGAACAAATTATGTACTTACAAAATATATTTTTCATATTGACCCTCTCCTCACTGTTGAAGAAGGGGTGGGTTTGTTGGGATTTTTCTCTCAACATTAAATGGACACATCACTGTCCTACTTTCTGGCTCTATCAAATGGTACTTGAGCAAAGTTGTGGATTTTTTATTGGCATGTATGTGCTAAAACAAAAGTTATGAGGGAATATTCTTCGTGCGTTCATCCTACCGTCCATTCGTTTGATCGTGCGTTCGTCCAGCTGTCCGTTCGTCGTGCGTGCATTCGTCCGAGCTTCCGTTCGTGGCAACGTTCATCCGGCCATCCATTCTTTCGTTCGTGAGTTTACGTTCGTGGGCGTTCGTCCGTCCGAACGTTGGCGCATGCGTGCGTTCGCTCGACAGTCCATTCCCCATATGACCCTGCGTTCGTCCGACCGTCCATTCGTCGTGCGAAATCCTTATAGTACTAACAAATGAATATGAAGCATTATATTCTCTGCAAAGAGGGTGGACTAAGATAATTTAGAAGAATGATCACAAGTAAGAGGAAGGAACCAACAAAAGGCAACATAAGAACACCAGTAAGGGGAAGGGGAGAGTTTTCCGGCCGGATGAAAACCGTTTAACCCACCTACGTACAGTCTAAAGTCTGTAGACTCTGAAGAAAGGATAATTTCTGACATCATCAAAGACAAGACAATCAAGACAAAGAAAGAAGACAACGAAAGAAGACAATGATGCAGAAGCAACGAATGACATCTGTCCATTCTTTCCTTGTTCGATCGATTGTTCGTTTGCAGGTTTTTACCCAAGATATGTCTTACCACTTGCCATACGAAAGTAACCAAGCGAGCAAGAAAGCAAGCAGACAAAGGAAATATATGTAAGCAAGCAAAGAAGTAATTAAGTAAGCAAGTTAGGAAGGAATTGAGGAAGTAATTGTGGAATTGATAGTGGAAGTAATAGTAGTAAGCAAGAAGGAAAGATGGGGGAAAGGAAGGAGGTGAGGAATTAAGTAGGAAGGAAGGTGGATATAAGTAACAAAGAAAAGAAAAGGAAGGGAGGGAGTGAGGGAGGAAGGAAGGGAGGGAGGAAGGAAGGAAAGAAGGGAGGGAGGGAGGCAGGGAGGGAGGGAGGGAGGGAGGCAGGCAGGCAGGCAGGCAGGCAGGCAGGCAGGCAGGCAGGCAGGCAGGCAGGCAGGCAGGAAGGAAGGAAGGAAGGAGATAAGTGATTAAGTTTGAAGGAACAAAGGAAGGATATAGAGGAGTAAGGAAGGAGGGGAGGGAGGGAGGGAGGGAGGGAGAGTGGAAGGACGGAAGGAAGGAAGAGGTATGGAAGAATTTATGAAAGGAAGGAAGAATTGAAGAAATTAAGGAATAGAGGAAATAAAGAAGGAAGGGTAAGGATGTAAGTAAGAAGGAAGAGAGAATTGAAGAAAGGAAGGAAGGGTAAGGATGTAAGTAAGGAAATAAGGTAGAAAGGAGGAACGGAAGGAAGGGACGGAGGAAAGAAAAAGGAATGAAGTTAGAAAAGAAGAAATTTGGAAGGGGGAATTAAGAAAAGGAGGAAGGAAGGTGGAAAGAAGTTATGCATGAGCGAATAAAGGAAGTAGGAAGGAAGTGAGCAAAAAAGGAAGTAAGCATAGAAGGAAGTAAGCAAGGAAGGATGGTAATAATTGAGTGCGTGAGTGAGTTAGTGGGTGGGTGAGTGTGTGGGTGGTTGGGTGGATGGGTGAGTGAGTGAGTATCCAAGCTGGCAACAGGAGTTTGAGACAAAATTAGTATTACTGAACATTTTTCTGACTGTATTTTCTGTTTTGAGAATTGTATCAACAAATAATTTATTCATGAAACTGGGTACAATAGTGGATCAAGCTGGGTACGACAGTGCCCAGATTTTCAGGGTATAATCAGGATTCACTCAACATGCACATGATACACTTGCTCCTGATGTCAGCGGGACATCCTCATGTTTTCAGCGGGGCCTCCTCGTGTTTTCAGCTGGGCTTTTGCTTTATTGCTCCTGCTAGAAGAGGGGCCTTGAGGGATATGATAGAATTTAAAATGTTTTGTAAAGCTTTAGCTGATATTCTAAAATAATGAAATGAACTGAGTATTAAATAATTATAATAAATGTCATTTGTTGAATTATAATAATCTGATGAAAAATCTCACCTCGTTTATGGTAGAAATAACCAGCCTGAGTGCTTGCAACAAGTGGTCCGGAATTTGCTCCATTTAATTTGCATTCGATCACATCGCTGTCTTCAACTTTTCTCAGATTGAACGAACTACAAATCTCCTCGTTTTTCAAACAAAATGTGGCGCATTCCAATACAGTGTTGCCGCTATTTGTTATATATTTTGTAATGTTTCCTGATCTCTCAGATTTAGCAACTTTGATATACCATTCTTGTTTAGATTTAAATGCAGCACTAAAATACATGATCAACGAGAACGCCAAAAAGTTGAATATGAGCATGGCGCTCATTGTAGAGCTTAAGAGTATCTTCTTGGTATGATAGTTTCCGTTTCCTTTTCTCACTCGACGCTAAGCTAATTTTGCGATTCAATTGAATCAACGCCATAAATACATCCCACATATGCATCGGGAATTGGTTCGGCTAATCATCGACAACGTCCAGAGACAAAATATACGGGTGTACACTATAGCTGTTCAAGCAGAAATTGTGGTGCAGGTTTTAAAACATTTATCTAAGGGGTATGATGAGGTATTTCATGTTTAATTTTATGCACATGCTCTTGGCTACTTTGTGTATTAATTTCATGGTGAAATGATATATTTTATATAGTTTTCTAGATTTTTTTAGATTTTTTCTAGATTTTTTTCTACTTTTTAATATAGGGACACTGCCACCCGGAACGGTATTCGTACATGTCAACTTTTAGCCTTAAATGTTGCCGCCATTTGACCTGTTTCGCAAGTCTTGACCACTATCCTTCTTTGAATTTTGAATTTAACCATATTAGTTTACTTACCAGGCAACCAATTGATTGTGTTTTAATAATAATGTCACATATGACAACTGGCCATTTATGTCAAATCCTCATTCTGGTATCATTTTTGCTTCAAGATGGCTGCTGAAATGCAGAACATGAAAGAAATTTAAGTGAAACAAATAATACCACATGATATTCTTACTATTATTGACCTTGAGCAACTACCATACCATATGCACGATACAGTCTAGATATGGCTCCGTGTGATTTTCTTCCTGAAGGCTTTATATCAGCGTATGGTGGATAGTTTGTAAACAAGTGAATCCACTTTTCAAATGGCAGCCATTGTTTTTGTAGTCTCAAACCAAAATGAAAATGTTATTGTATCAATTGATTGATAAAGACATATAAAATATGGTATAATACATATTATAGTTGTGTAAGTGGTGAAATGTTATTTTAAAATGGATTGCTGCAGAATTGTATTTGAGACTATGCACAATTATTTTCAAAAATGGTGGACATTTAACATGTGGAAATCACTTCAAATTTTGAAGATCCAAATGGTCATTATGGACACAAATTCCACTATATTTGTATTTTTTAGAACGGAGAAAATATAGAACTTAATTCCCTGAGGTAAGAATTTATTATATGTGCGACAGAATGTCTTTTTGAAATCGATAGTAATTATTTATGGATCTGACTGTACTTATAATGTTTGAAATATCATGTTTTGATGAATGCATGCTTGATAAGATACTTCCTGTATGACAGAAATGAAATTATATCTATGTATTGAAGGGTGACGCATATCGTTTAGCAAATCGAACGCTCGTTTCTGGTGTTGCTCACCGTTTAGTATAAACAGGCCCGATCCCGATCCCAGAATCATACTCAAGGGTTCACAGGCTCGGGGTCGTTGTGTCAACACCTCTAACTGTTATTTAGGATCAGTATATTTCGTCACACGTTTATAAAAGGGAGATTTTTATTTTGACAAATTAATTTCACATTTATGGGTGAAGTTTCAGGATCTTCTATTTGTGTATGATAAGGAAGTTTGACATCACTCTTTTCTCTCAATAATGTTTTCAGAAGCATTATAAACGGATTAGACCTACTTAATCTCCAATACAATTTCAATAAACTGGATTTCACAAAACTCGCCTTCTTTAAAATGGACTGATCCTGTTGACTCGCCTGAAGCCGCCATATTGATTTTATATGGGAAGCTTATCGGAACCCTTTAACGTAATCCCTGGATACTAATGGTACAATTTAGAAATTAAAACAATACATCAAACTGTACACGATGAATAATTTAGGATGATGACTCAAAATGTGTTTAGCAATTCACTTTACAAACCTATTAAATAGGAGCATCATTAAATACTCATTATGTGTAGATATTTTGGTTAGTCGTAACTACAAAGCTGTCAACACTGTTTAAAGTTGGGTAAAAGAACATATTATTACAAATATGATTTAGAAGGACGTGGCCATGAAGGATAGAATATGTGATCATTTTGGACCTTTATCCCTAATATGTACAGGAGGGGGGGTCGGATGAACCCTCCAGATTTTTCCCCGGTACTTCTCTGCCAAGAAAACTTTTTATAACCGTAGTACCTATAGCTACAGATAAAAGATCATTTTTCGTGCAAAAATCGAGGTGATCGGAGGTAATTTGGCTGAGTTAGGATGGTGGGAACTTGGGATCTTTTTCAAAAATCGCTTGAAAATCATACCATTTCTATTGTTTCATAGAATAAAAAATATAAGCTGGTTATTTTTACTTTATTTTGTATATAGACCATATAGTATAGTAAATACCCTTTCAAACAAGCAATATTACAAGGAAATAAGATTTTTTTGACTGAGATACGAAGTTTTCAATATTATATTATTTCGATCCAAATAATTTGATTAAAAAATTGTAAAAAATTGTTTTTTTCAAAAAAAAATAATTTGAGTAAAAACTTGTGTTTTCAAAAACTAGTGTTCATATATCCTTGGAATTTTTTCCTGAACATGTCTGTCATATGTCTGCAAAACAATATGACCATATCTTTATTTCTTTGTAGAAATAATTTTTTGTCTCCCCTACCCCAAGATTTTTCCGTTTCACGGCTATTTGTAGTCATTTTTCCATCTTAATATACATATAATTTACAAACTTGAAAATATATATGCATCAAGATATTGCACGTCAATTATCTAAACTATATGTAAAAAACAAGTTGTTAAGAGTAAATTGTATTTGAAGTTCTAGCTTTTAAGAAAAAAAATTGTATCATCTCGGGTGGCTTTATTTATTTTGAAATATTTTTCATAAATCAGTAAATATAGAGCCAAACATGTGATTCTATGTAATATTTTGATTATGTACCAGTAGAAACATATGGCATCTATAATTAGAAGCAAAATAAACCATGAAAATATGTCAAAGCTGCAACTTTTGGTTCAAATACACTAATTTTCAACCTGGGCTGTGATTTGTCTCCCGTCCCCCCATTTTTCGATATTTCATTTCGTCAAATTGTCGACAATTGAGATTGCTTTATTAGTTTTTCAAGTGAAATGATATGTTTAGTGTTCCTTTGTTTTATGTCCTTTGTCTCATCAGTAGGGTCATCATCATCATTACCTATTTCTGCATCTAGGAAAGGTATTTACCCATGGTTTTTTGTACTAAAAGGGTAGATACCTATCACATTTAACACCATTTCTGGCTAAAACATTGTTTTTGACTGAAAAAAGTAAAAAATACGCGAGAAAACCTCACCTCTATGTTACTTTGACCTACTTTTGAGATTTCTATACATTCCCTCGAGAGTTTTGAATGACCTGCAAAATAGTACCTCACTGTTTACTGTACATCTTCAACTATTGAAACGCCAAGGGGGTCATCTGACCCCCCCCCCACCTGTGTTATGAAAAAAACATTGTACACACTATTAGGGTTAAGACATGTGTTCAACGACCAGTATTTTTCCAAATTCTATTCTATTACGTTTTTAACCGTGTACGAGTCTGACTCCCTAATTGAATTGAGCAAATAACGCAAATGCGAGTAGGTAGTTACCAGTTTCACCACCAGGTGGCTCGCTCGGGTCAGATAGCATGGCGGGTATAGTAGAAATTTCCCTTAAACTTAAATTACATAGGTTTTAGTGGTTCAATTTTCATATAGCCCTTATGTATCGAATAATTATGCAAATTAAAGTATGTCCAGTAAAATAAAATGTTAGATGTCCAATACAAGAAAAGATATTTCACTTTTTGTGATTTTGTAATATGGGGTCTATGGGGAATCAACCCGAGCTAAAAGTCACATTTTCAAAAAATATTAAATTTTCAAAGTTGATAAACAATTTTCGAAACCACATTTTTAGATGTATTTTTACATGTAGATTTCAAATATGACACCACTTTGACCGAATTTTGAATATTTAATGACGTTAATCAAGATCATTTCTACTCGTATCTAGTCTATTGAAACGCCGTGGCACGTACACATACACTGACACTAAATGGGAAAGGATTGGTATCGATATGGAGAACTGAATTCAACAATGTTTTTCTCTAAAACCAAATATTGAAAACATTCTGTAAAAAAAGACGGTCCTTTATGTAATGTTGACAGATTGACAACAATTTAATGCGAAAATAATTTATACATATTTTATATAACTGTTTTTGTTCACTTTTTGTTTTTTAGTGCAATTGTTTTTGCTCCTTTCTATCAATTCTTAAGAATGAAATAAAATATCTTTCCGAAGCTTGTTTGAACAAAATAGCATATACAACATTTTCTTAGACTTCCCAATATTATATTTGTATAAAGGAAATTTTGGTTGATTTAACAAAAAGTATATTCAAAAAATTAAAACAAAAACCCCGAAATAGATAAAAACGAAGATAAACCTTTAATTTAATTACAAGATACTTTTTGAAATCAAGCAAACTTTCTTTTGTATAATTACAATATTGAGAGACATAAACACGTTGTGTTTATGTCATTTTGTTCCAATGAGGTTCATTTCACTCTGGAAACATGATACCAAGAACATAACAAGTGTTTGATGTGTTTTTAAAAACAATATAGATGAAAGTATGTATATCTATTTCAAATTATATCGTTACCATTCAAAAGATGGCCATTGAATTGACAATGTGTAAAAATTTAGAATTTTTTGATGACTGGTTTAAGAGAAACGTGTGTTCAAAATGTTCGCCATATCGATACCACTCCTTTCAGGATTGCTTCTTCCATTTTGTAAACGTTCGTTAATGTGGATTCGATTCATCGGACTTAATTAATCAAATTGAAGCAAGTTAACTGGTTCCAATAATTGCCATGAAAACAATAAGCAATACCATACCAGCGTTTTCCTCACACAAAGTGTCAATAAATTCGCTTATAATTGTTGGACTATGTCCACATATTGGTCAATTCGTAGAAGGACTACGTGTAACTACTTAATATCTTTTAAACGTATACGAATACGTGATCAGATCATAGTCCGGAGTGTTTTCATACCCAGTTTCACAATAACTAGATCTTAATT